AATCCTGATTTATATCATATACTGATGTACCAAATCTCGTTTATTTATATTGTTGCGAACCCGTGCAGACGTGTGGCATAACCTAACTAGCTAAAATGTCCCGCCCCCATAAACTGCATTAAAGAATAGACACCGTAATGATTCATTCGAACGTTCGAGAACAATCGAGTTCCACTCAAATGGAGTAGTACATACGAGAACATTCGAAACCTTCTCTATGCACCTAATGATCTATGGATTATTCGAGAATTCTTTAGCTGTGGGTATAAAAGCCGACGGCTGTGGCTTGAAGAGGACAGAAATAAATAGACGAGTACAGTTGACGGGCTAAATTCAAAATAAATTCTTTCTAGATAAATAGTTATAAATCGTTTGTCAATAGTTCTTTAAGTCTTTTATCGTTATTGTTTTTGTTAATTAGTGTTAAATAAATTGTGTTTAAATAAATTGTGACTTTCTATCTACACGGAACCGACGAAAAACGTAACAATATGAAAAAATAAAAAACTTATAGGGTTAAGCGACTTTGTGAAACACCCGGTAGAAATTCTTAAAAAGTGTTAATAATAATTTTTCCATTTATATCATTGTGACATTAGTAGAATTTTTGTAATTTTCATTGTATAATAGTATTTAGAAGTACTTAGTACTAAAGTAAATAAATCTATACAGAAAAAAGTGAAAATATTGCTTGACGACAATCAGTGCAAATCCGCCTGACCTCAACAAAATAAATATTGATGCAATTCTTTTTTCGCATGAGAACATACTTTCTTAAACGGTTAAAATAGTATAGGTACTACTTGAATATCATACTACATACAACACCTTTAAGAAGCACAGTGTGTTTAAGTATATTTAGCCCATAGCTATCTCCATAAATATGGCTTTTAGAAAAAAAATGTGTGTGTACTTTACACATATTTGAAGTGAGACTTCTTGCTCCCATCCGTCTGTCTCTGCGTCTGTGAAATCCATTCGGGTACCTCTATCCACGTGCCGATTCTGGTTCCAATCGACCCATAATTAAGAAAAATACTGATGACCCTGTGAACCGTCGCTTAAATAGCCTACCCACCAAATCTGGTCGCGATAGGACGACATCAAATTTTGACGTCTCTTACGTCATAACTAACTGTCACAGTGACAGTACGTGTCGTACACGGCCAAGTTGGCCTCGTCCAATCTATCGACATACTAAATTTCATTTAAATCGGACGATTTTTTAATTTGATTCATTGATGATGGGGTTTCGTAGTGCACGAAACGTCGTCAAAATATCACGAAAAGATGGGGCTCTTACAAGATGCTGCAGATTTGATTGAACATAACATTAATAAATATAACATAAATAAAAATTAAAATCAAATTAAAAAATAATCATACAAAAAGTTTAAAGGTTTCTGGTTTTACCTTACTAAGTAATTGTTATCAGGTAGTAATTGTGTGTGTGTTAATTTTGAAGTTTAACTTGATATAATGTCATTTTAACAGAACGTCAATGGTTCTTATAGACGTATCTGTTTGAAAAAAATAGTTTTTTCTTTGTTCTTTGCCTTTTTTGCTTCCGACGACGGGAAGAGATATACTTCCCGAAACGTTAAGCATTTGTCCGTTAGTTGTCATAAGCGTTTTGTCCGTTAGGCAAATTTGTTTCCCCAAAAAATCTTTTTTGAAGCAACTGATTTAAAATCGGATGGTACGCGCGCAGTTTCCAAGTGTATTTAATCCAAATATACTGTTACGTTTTTCGTCGGTTCCGTGTGGATAGAAAGTCACAATTTATTTAAACACTATTTATTTAACACTATTTAACAAAAACAATAACGATAAAAAACTTATAGAACTATTTACAAACGATTTATAACTAAGAATTTATTTTGAATTTTAGCGCGTCAACTGCACTCGTCTATTTATAACTGCCCTCTCTAGGCCACAGCCGCTGGCTTTTATACCTACAGTTAAAGTTTACTAGAATAGTCCATAGATCGTTAGGTGTATAGAGCAGGTTTCGAATGTTCTCGTATGTACTACTCCATTCTAGTGGGACTCGATTCTTCTCGAATCTTCGAATAAATCATTACGGTGTCTATTCTTTAATGCGATGTTAAGGTCATCCGAGGGCGGGCCATATAGTTCTTGTTAAGCCACACCTAAAATTCCAAACACACGTGCTTTAATTAAGGTTTGATTAAGATTTGCAGAGCTTCAGCATTTGCCATAAAATAGCGAGCAATTTGTTACAAAACCATATAAATTATATATTACTGTAATCACAAAACTTCAATCTATTTCCGTATTGTAACCGAATTTAAAATTATGTCTTTCTTTTCGAGAAAATTTAGTCCAAACAAAATAAGGAATATTTTGTTGATGTTTGACCATCAAAAAGTTAAAAATAAAGAAGTTGTCTAAAAATGTGCTGAGTAGTGAAATGGACTCTTAAGAGGAAAAAAAGCATAATATAAATAAATCTATAAAAACAATTATAATAAGGTCATCATGCATTCTTAGTCGATGTGTTACGCTCAATAGTCGAATTCGGGCAATGCCCGAAAAAAACACGCAAATCTAGTTTTGAGCAAGGAATATTTCTCAAACCTGGAAAACCAACCCTAACCAATGAATTAACACCCTCCAAATAACACGCTAACCAACTCGCCAAATAACTAAACCAATTCAACCAAAAAGAGTGAAACCAATGCAATCAAATTACACTATAAGCAAAAAATAATAATCGAATAATAGTACGAGCCCTAACAACTATATGTTGGGACAAGGTCATATTTTGGAATCATTGCCCTGGTTTTTCAAAATGACTGAAATATATATGTTTAATTTTTTAAATATAAACATAGCCATATATCCTAAATAACTTGACAATATTTTTATAAATTTCTAAATCAATCCATATTTACAGTAGCGGATTTTGTTCATAAAAGGACAAATTTGCTGACAACTTAATGTTGGGGTAAGTATTTTTAAATAATTAATATCATCATTGGCGGCTTTGCTATAAACGTCACAAATGTCGTAAACTGTTTACTTCAGCATTTGCAGCTTGTAAGTGACTCGATACTTTGAGTAGTGAGATTTACTATAAATAATTTTTTTTTTGAATTTTCAATTTTGTTAATTTAATTCAAAGTAATGGTCCGTGGAAAAACTACAAATCAAAAACTACGCTAAATTATCATTCGTCAATACAGTACGGAAAAAACAATTCGAAAAATTTCTGATGATTTAAGTATTCCTAAAACCACGGTCTCTAATATAACAAAAAGGCCAAAAGTTGTATCTCAGAGAGATTTGAATACGAAATTTAGTAAAAAATTGCTAGTCTGTGAGAACTGGTTTAAATATATCAAGAGAATGTTATAATATATCCATAAATGCGGTCTGGGGTTTTACAAGGTAAACTTTATTTTGTGTGGATAATCAATTACCTGAAGATTATTGATACAAATTCTTATTTAGGCCAAAGAAAAACCGCTACTGACAGAAATTCAAAAGAAAAATCGCTATAAATGGGCAAAATCTAAATTATCGTGGACACAAAATGATTGGAATAAGGTCATATTTAGCGATGAGTCTAAATATGATGTTTGCGGTGGAGATCACCGAAAACGAATAATACGAAATAAAGAAGAAGTCTTTCATAAAGATTGCTTACAGAGGGTTGTGAAATTTCCTAAGGGGATTATGGTTTGGGGTTGCATGTCAGCAAGAGGTTTGGGCAAATTAAATTTTATAGATGTCACTGTTAACGCCCAAAAATATCAACATATACTTTGAAACCTCAAACCTTTGCCTAGTGCTCAAGAATTGTTTCCAAACGAAGACTATATTATCCAACAAGATGGAGCATCGTGCCATTCAGCAAAATCAACTAAAAATTGGTTCGGTAATAATAATATAAAAGTTCTACCCCATCCTGCAAGTAGTCCGGACCTCAATGTTATAGAAACTGTGTGGCATATAATGAAGCAATATTTAAGAAACACCCTCTTTTTTTACACCCTCAACGAACAATTTTTGATTTTCGGACAAAACTGCAGGAAATTTGGAATAATTTTTCTCCTCAAATGTGCCAATCTTTGGTAAATACAATGCCATTAAGAGTTCAGGTAGTTGTTAAGGCGAAAGGTGATGTAACTCCGTATTAAACAAATTTCTTGTTGTGCTGTCCCAATATATAGTTATCAGCAAATTTGACTTGATTTTGGCAAAATAAGGTATTATCAACAGTGATTTGTTTGCAAAGTTATAAAAATATAGTAAAATTGTCTAGATCATATTGTAATGTTTGAATTTAGAATAATAAACAAAATAAATTGAGTCGTTTTAACAAATTACTATTTTTATTGCAAAAAAAGACCTTGGCCCAACATATAGTTGTTAGGGCTCGTATATTAAACGAGTTTTGAAAACGACGTTTTGCACACGAGTTCGACAGTTTGTTGGCTCGAGCCCCAGGCAAGAGCCACAAATCGAACGAGTGTACAAAGAAGTTTTTGAACGAGTTTTTACGCTATTTTTTCTACGACTACAAATTAGCAGCAAACTCACTCAGTTTTTGTCAGTTTTGTGGAATCATTTGCGATGTAATGATGACACTTTTCTGATGGCTGCGTTGCGTTTGGCGTTTCAGCTAAACATTTTGGAGGTTAAAAATGTTAAAATTGACACATCATGTCGTGTGCACTAAGACACATGTCGTGCGCTAAATCCTTAACACACGACAGTTTGCAAAACGCCAATTTCAGATCGAGTTTTCCGTGTGTCAAACTGCATTTTCTAGGCTAGTCGTAGAAAAATTAATTTTTCGGGTTTGGGAAATATTCCTTGCTCAAAACTAGATTTGCATATTTTCCTCGGGCATTGCCCGAATTCGACTATTGGGCGTAGTAGATATATCGTCGTAATCCTGCCACACAATGCCGCGCGACAACTGGCGAGTCACATACCCGACACCGCGTTCCCATATCGCACCGCGACCTTTTTGCCGATTGCCGGCGCCTCGAGCCCCACGCAAGCTGACCGTCTTCTTCTTTCTGCAGCATCTTCGAGAGTCACTTCCACTGGTAGTACCGAAGTAGTGCCAGTACCATCGTTTGTCGCGACGAACCCGGAGCGGTCTAAGTGCGAGAAGTACGAGAACGACTGTGGCGTTCGTGAATAGGACTGGAGTAAATAATCGGTGGAAAAAATGTCGTTTGGAGTTGTTTTTAAGCTGGTGGTTTTAGGGATGATGGTTGTTTTAAGAACAGCAGGGCAAAAGGTATTTTGACTTATTTTTCTTTTGAAAACAAATATAATATCGTCCCCTATCTCGTCCTTTAACTCGCATTTAGTACATTTTCTGTCAAGATAGAAGAAAATTTTAGAAAGATACGTCGAATCAAAATACTATATCACTGCCTTGATTACCATGAGAGATACAGTCACAGCACTTCGTGAGATAAAAGTTGTGCCTGTAGGGAAGTCTCAAGTGTTTTCGATTTTTTGTTACGCCTTTACGTGAGATAGGGGACGATGTTTTTGGAAATGTTGAATAATGTACAGTCTGATAAAGATGTATGCAGGGTGTTTCAAAAGAAATTCCTCACGTAAAAATAAGATTTATTTTGTTTATCAACATTGGTCCGATTCTGCTTTGTTTTGTAGCTCTACAGGGGCTTAAATTTTTTTTTCGATTTATTATAATTTTCTTCTAAAGTGCTTTTGGCGATTCGAATTAAATTTTGAGGGTAAAAGTTACTATAACTGCATCATATTTTAATGCTAAAAAAGTGTCGACATATTCATGAGGGACGTGCATATGGGTTATCACTGGAATATCTTTCTAAAAAAAACATGTGCGCCACTGACTTTCTCCATTTTCTTAACAAAATTTTGAGGACCGATTAATGCCGATTAAAAGTTGTCTTTTGATATTTTGTCGATTTTGGTCTCCTTGAGTTAAACGCAATTTTATTAATTTGCCTTAACCCAAACTCTAATAGGAACCCTTAAAAGTTTATTGTCATTAACTGGCGAAAGTGTTAAATATGTACTCATTGATTCCTCATCAAAAAATATAAAAAAAGCTCTTATAAACATGGGTGCGAAAATGCACAGTTTTAAAGTTTAAACTTTTAAAAAATAGGTCTTTTTTATTTATCTTAGGTACCATTATTAATTTGCTGTAGATAGCACCGAAAATCAGTTTTATAAATTTTATTTAATAATAAATTAGATTAAATAAATAAATCAGTAATTATAATTTTATTAATTAGGATTAATAAAATTGCATTTGTCTTATCAAGGAGATTATAACTGACAAAATATCAAGATAAACCTTTTTAAAATATGCACTTTTAGTAACTTTTACCCTCAAAATTTTATATTTATCACTAAAATCATTTGAAAGAAAATTATAATAAATCGAAAAAAAAATGAGGACGTTAACTTCCTGTAGCTACGAAACAAAGCAGAATCGGACCTATCTTCATATAAAAAATAAATCTTATTTTTATGTGAGGAATCTCCATACGAGAGATGGCACATGTTTTTTGAAACACCCTGTCTAGGCTTCCGATTTATAATTTTCAAATAAATATTTTTATCCAGTATTAATTGATACTTGCCCACATTACTGTGTACAAAAATTTTGGAACGATACAATAATTTTTTATATCTCTTGGAATAATGGTATAATATAATATACATTTTTCGCTCTATTATTTTGAAATTTCGAAATACAATTTTAAAGTAACTATCTGTGCTTTCTTACATTTTTTCAATTTTTTAAGATATTTTACTCAGTTTTCAAGCGTTACTTCTAGGTTTACCAACATATTTATAAAAATATAATTTTTAAATCTTACCCTTATTAAACTACCTAAACGAATTGATTTTTTTATATAACATCGTTCAGATAAGTAATACGAATATTGAAACTTTTCTTTTCTACGCCAAAATTCCTACTTTATTATGAAATTTTATTATCATCGTCCTGTATAAAGGAAGAACAATACACATAAAGAAGGAGACAAACACATAAAGGTTCTGAGGGTTGTTTTAGTCAGTAAGAGTCTGACACTACTTCGATTGTCTTACCAAATGATGGTTTTTTTTCCCTCAAAAAAAAACATATTTCTTTTCTATACATATTTTTTAGATATTATACTCAATTTTTGATTTTCGGACAAAACTGCAGGAAATTTGGAATAATTTTTCTCCTCAAATGTGCCAATCTTTGGTAAATACAATGCCATTAAGAGTTCAGGCAGTTGTTAAGGCGAAAGGTGATGTAACTCCGTATTAAACAAATTTCTTGTTGTGCTGTCCCAATATATAGTTATCAGCAAATTTGGCTTGATTTTGGCAAAATAAGCTATTATCTAAAGTGATTTGTTTGCAAACTTATAAAAATATAGTAAAATTGTCTAGATCATATTGTAATGTTTGAATTTAGAATAATAAACAAAATAAATTGAGTCGTTTTAACAAATTACTATTTTATTGCAAAAAGACCTTGGCCCAACATATAGTTGTTAGGGCTCGTATATTAAACGAGTTTTGAAAACGACGTTTTGCACACGAGTTCGACAGTTTGTTGGCTCGAGCCCCAGGCAAGAGCCACAAATCGAACGAGTGTACAAAGAAGTTTTGAACGAGTTTTACGCTATTTTTCTACGACTACAAATTAGCAGCAAACTCACTCAGTTTTTGTCAGTTTTGTGGAATCATTTGCGATGTAATGATGACACTTTTCTGATGGCTGCGTTGCGTTTGGCGTTTCAGCTAAACATTTTGGAGGTTAAAAATGTTAAAATTGACACATCATGTCGTGTGCACTAAGACACATGTCGTGCGCTAAATCCTTAACACACGACAGTTTGCAAAACGCCAATTTCAGATCGAGTTTTCCGTGTGTCAAACTGCATTTTCTAGGCTAGTCGTAGAAAAATTAATTTTTCGGGTTTGGGAAATATTCCTTGCTCAAAACTAGATTTGCATATTTTCCTCGGGCATTGCCCGAATTCGACTCTTGGGCGTAGTAGATATATCGTCGTTTTTACGAACATATTTATAAAAATATAATTTTTAAATCTTACCCTTATTAAACTACCTAAACGAATTGATTTTTTTATATAACATCGTTCAGATAAGTAATACGAATATTGAAACTTTTCTTTTCTACGCCAAAATTCCTACTTTATTATGAAATTTTATTATCATCGTCCTGTATAAAGGAAGAACAATACACATAAAGAAGGAGACAAACACATAAAGGTTCTGAGGGTTGTTTTAGTCAGTAAGAGTCTGACACTACTTCGATTGTCTTACCAAATGATGGTTTTTTTTCCCTCAAAAAAAAACATATTTCTTTTCTATACATATTTTTTAGATATTATACTCAATTTTTAAGTATCTAATACCTCTGAATTCTTTATTTCTACATATTATTCGTAAAATGCATTTTTAAAACTTCCCCTTAAACTTCCCTCTATTAAACTATTGAAACTAAATGTATTTATTTATTTTATTAAACTTCGTTCAGTTAAATCAATGTTGAAATGTTTTCTTTTTTGCGCTAAAATTAAAAATGATTTTAAAGTTTTATCATCGTCTGACATTTTTATATTGGGATTACAAAACATTTATTTACAATTTTCCGAATAATATTAAATAAATAAGCTTTGAACGGAATTTGACCAAAATCCTTTGTTAGTCAGTGCTTACATCAAACCAGGAGTAACTCCTACAAATTTCATCTGAATCTAGCGTATAATTTTGGAGATACCGGTATAAATAAGTGGTAAATCTTTTTTATATAGCTACTTGACGACACTTGCCTATTTCGCTGTTCACTGTCGCTGACACTGTGCCTATTTCACTTGCCTATTTCGCTGTTGAATAATATTAAATAAATAAGCTTTGAACGGGATTTGACCAAAATCCTTTGTTAGTCAGTGCTTACATCAAGCCAGGAGTAACTCCTACATCAAATTTCAACTGAATCTAGCGTATAATTTTGGAGATACCGGTATAAATAAGTGGTAAATCTTTTTTATATAGCTACTTGACGACACTTGCCTATTTCGCTGTTCACAAACATTCGCAGCAATTTATTTCTTTCTTTTGCTATATTTTGCCAGTGTTGGTGAATATTTAATTATAATATTAACAATTCATTTTCACCCTATTGCTTTAAAATCTCGAAAAATAATTTTGAAATAATTATCTGTCACTTTTGACGTCATTTACAAAAATTCCATCTGTAAAAAAATATTTTTTCTGGAATTTTAAACAACACACCACATAAAAAATTATTTTTACTCTATATAAAAATAAATTAAACTTTGTTAAGGCCAACTGGCAGTACGCAACTTTAAAAATAAAGAAGAGTATTGGTTAAATAATGACATCTAATAGTGCTTGACATCGCCAAAATAATCGATTGTCATGTGGTATGTTACTGAGTTTTTAAGCAATACATTTGGATTTAGTTGCATATTGGTAAACATGTTCTTATTTTTAAATTTTCTCCTTAAAATGGGGTCAAAATAGTGTCAACTGCGGTACTCTATATTATTTAGAGATTAACGAATTATCCTAAAATCATAATGGTAAATTTTGAATAAAATGAATTTTAGCAAGAATGATAAAATAATGATTAAAAGTACCAACAATAAGCAAAAGGAAATTAAGTGCCATTTTGTCTGATAACATCAAAAACTAGTAAAATTAACACAAACTAATTTTTTGTCTCTCTTAATTTATTTAAACAGATCATTATAGCCGTTAAAAGCAAAAACTTTAATTTACAAACCGTATAACCAAATCGGAAACGTTTTTAGAAAGGTGTTAAAATGTGCTTAATTTATTAGCGTAAAATCGAAGAATAAAAACGACAATTTTATGTAAAGAAAAAAACCTATTTGTGTCTGTCTATTATAAAATAATACGTAGTTTAAAAATAAATAATTTAGTTGTTATTTTATTGATAATTATCGGAATACTCGTAAGTCAATTCTCGTGACATTAGTATTCTACATGAGGTGAATCTCATACACTGCGTTACATGTTTCCGTTTGATGTTAACATCTCACTCATGAAAAGCAAATTAATTCAATGTAATTGTTTTCCAATTAGATAATTATAGGCAATAAATATACTTCTATAAACAACCAGAATACAAACAAGATGTTAAATAGTTTAGAACTACATTTACTATTATTTTTTTAAGTATATTTAATGAAAATTATAATCAACTATTATTATTAAAGTATT